CCGATCTCCAGAATTCACAGATCACTACAGCACCCGCTAAGCCTTTTTGCAGCCTCCTGTGTCTTCAACAGCTGTTCCCTAGGAACGGCTTCTAACAGTGGAGATTCTTCAGCTTCCCGCTTTAAGATCCTATCTTCATAGCCTCCCGTGCAGAACTGAACTCCCAATTGGTAACTGACAACTATCTGGGTGCCAGGCTGGCGGCCGTTCCATACCAATCTCTTCACAGACTGACTTTGAACTGAACGCTCTCACTCAACAACCAGCTACTTCACGTCGCTTCACTCAACTGAACTGCACCCAGCCAGTCTGGGGTCCTCGCTATATAGCCTAGGGCCTCACCAAAAGAACACCCCCCCCCCCCCGTTTCGATTGTAACTGTAATGTTGTGTGCGTCTCGTTTCAGCGGTAACATGTTTACCGAGCCGTTACCAAGCAACGCATGTTCCTTCTCACGAACGTTCCATAGCAAAGGTACTACATGTTAGTCGATAAATTCTGTGATTTTATATAACTCGGCTCTCATTTCCGTGTTCAGAAATGCTCTGTCATAAGCCAGCTCAATTTAATTCACACCTTCATATCCTAGTTCTCAAAGATTAGTTTTAATATTATCCTCCCATCTACACCTAGGTTCGCCAGTCGCCTCTTCCTTTGACGTTTCTCTATGGTTGTTATTATTAATTTCTCATCACACTCTTGGGAACGTCACATAGTTCTCACTCGCCCCGTTGATTAATCACTCTAACAAATCATATTACGTGAAAACCACAAATTACAAGTGTCTTGTAAAGAAAGTCAGAAGTAAAGGTATCCCTGTAAGAGGCCGCGGGGGCCCACAGGGTCTTGAGATGTCGAGGCTCCCACATTTTCTAGACATTTCCTACACACTGAATTTATATTCTCTACGCTGAATGAGCGGCCTAGTTTAATCAACACAAAACAACAGATAAAACAATACTTACCGTCGTTCTCATTTGTGTGTGTTTTGTTTTGTCTGTGTAGTCAGTGTACTGAAGATCTTGAGGTTGCGTCATCAAGACAGTGATGCAGATCGCTACGTCATCATTAGGAACTTAACTGGATTCTGTTTTCAACATGAAATGGGAACCAATATCGTCACACTGGCGATCATGGTGAACACACACAGGCCTTTCCTTTTGTAAGGCTTCCAATTCAAGATTTGACGCACCCTCGGAAGTTCTGTAGACATGCAGTGTTGGAATTTAGGTTGTCACAGCGGCGACGGTCCTCTGGGTTGTAACGTCGTGTAGTCCCAGGTTCAATCCCAGGTGGGGTCATGTGGGAGTTCTGGTGGACTGGGTGTTCTCAGAATGCTTCGGTTTCCCTGCCAGTTCTCACGTTGCCGAGTGCTTCATACTCATCCACTATCCGGGCTGGTACAAAGGGCCAACCAGTGGCTGGCGTACCAAGGGGACTCTGTCTCACCCCACCCAACGCATTACAATAAGGCCTTGTGGTTCGGACGGTATTATTCGAATGGTTATTTCAAGGGAGATGAGTTTGGCAGGCATGCAACAGGCATGGCACAGAAGTGAGTGTAAGGTGTTGGTAGAATAACCTGAAGCAAAGAAACCACCAGGGATACCTACATATAGACGGGACGATAATATTAAGATGGATGGAGATGTGGATTGGATTAATCTGTGTCAGGGTAGGGGTCAGTGGCGGGCTCGTGTGAACACGGCAATTAGCATTTGGATTTCATAAAATGCTGAGAATTTCTTATTTGGCTGAGCAAGTGTTTGGAGAAAGCAGTCTTCTGGGATATGGCGCCGTGTAAATATTGTGTTAACCGACGTTTCGCAGGAACGTATCGCCTCCATCTTCAGGGCGAAGAACCAGCGTGAGCAAGTATTTAGAGACTAATGGCGCCATATCCCAGAAGACTGCCTTCTTCATAGTGACCGCCGTGAAAACCTCAAATCTTACAGAGCAAGTGTTTGTTTCTCAAGAGGGGTTATTCCCTGTGGAGTCAGTTCGGACGGCGTTACAACCCAGACGACCCTGCTCTTCCTTTGCATTGTTCTGTGGAGTAATACCCAACATTCCTGCAGACAATCCGGCTCCGGTCTATGTGTCGCCGAGGGGTCCTGTTGTCCGTGGCGACTGTGCTGCTGGTGACGCTACAATGCGGCCATCTTTTTGAGGTGTCGGTCTCGAACCAGTTGGAAGACTGCGCTGCAAGAGAACTGCGCTGTGAGATCCTGTGCCATCTTGTCGAACTGGAGCTCCAGTGCGCAAAATGTCGGTCAAGAGCTCCGGTACGGTTCGGTAAACGCAGTGGAGAGAATTTGCGACAAACCCGAAACCAGAACCCAACCAAGAGCCTGCAACTGGACACCATTAGTCAGCTGAAGGATATGCAGCGTGCAGACGGTCTCTGCTGTGGGGAGCTTCTGTCATTTCTGCTGCATAACTCGAAGATTGGCTTGCGAAAGCGGTTACTGCAAAATGATCCCCAACCCAGACAATACAGAAACTAAATTTTATTAAAATGTATTTGACACGCTGCACTGCACAAACAAATATATTATGTCATACTTGGCCACAAAATAGTAAAGGACATCACAGAAAATATACCTGTCACACTTGCTGAATGCATGTGTATCGCCTAAGCTGTACTGGGTAGAGTAACATTTTGAGTGTTCTGATATTCTTGCCGTGGTAACAGTGGGGATTACTGTCTTCTGGTATGTGATACCGTCTAGTCTTGTAGGTATATAATAACCCTGAAGGTGGAAGCACCAGGTATTTCCAAAATACGGTATCTCTCCATAAAGAACAGTTTTAACATTTTGAAATTTGAGTTTCTCAGGAGAGTGATTATTAAGACTGTGGATTTCTAGGATGTGACGCCGCGTAGTCTGGCGGCATATATTAACCCGGAAGGTGGAAGTACCAGGCTTTTCCAAAATTTTGGTAAATATCTACCGGAGTGTACGGTCTCATTCCAGAAAAGCAATCTTAATATTTTCCGATCTGAGTTCCTCATGGCAATGATTATTAAGACAGGTTTTGTAGGATATAACGCCGTGTACTCTGGTAGATGGTTACGGACGTTTCGGAGGAACCTGTTACCCACACCTGCAGGGTAGATTAGTAATCATTTCTGACTGCACGGCGTGCCATCCCGAAGCATCTAGGGTCTAATGCCTAGCATGAGATAAAATCAAACTCTCTATGCTTTGTTGGATATAAGATTATTACAGCGGTGACCATGAAGAATATTTTGTGACGACGCGTAGAATTTGATCAACGTTACTCCGAAACGTCGGTAGGCTTGTACCAGACTGCACATCGTCACATCCCACAAGATAATATTTATTATTTGCTTTTATGTTATGTTTTCCAAGACTGTTATTCCGTGACTGTGAGAGACCAGTCTATATGTTGGCCCTGCAGATGTTACTGAGTATCACCCAAACCCGTTACAAATACACGGGGGTGTCAGGCGAATGAAGGTTTCTTGCGTTAGATTCTTGCATGGTCTCATTTCCTCTGTCATTCTTTTATTAATTGTATCTAAAACAGACGAATACAAATAAATTGATTAATTGAGGTTAAAACAACGAAGCAAAAGAGGTTACAGTAATTGCTCCGATAAGGAGACAGGAATTATATTCAGAATTTTGATGTGATGTCCTGTAGTAAAGCACGAATTTTGAAGAGGAAGAGATTCAGTGATCAAACGCTAAACGTGGTTAATGCCATACTGCTGTACTAGGCGTAGAGTTACTGTATTCTCCGACTCGTGAATAAAGCACTGTATCATCCCATGACTTATCACGCACGCACGCACGTTTTCACACACTTTCCTTTGCAGTCTTCATCATTGAAGGATGGGGCCAGCCGTGTGAAGTTCTGTTAATCTCAAGATATGTATGGCAGTAACTGTGGACGCTGTGTCACATCCATGAGAACAGTAATTCGACATAACCTATTCTCCATGTGTCTGCCAGCGTGACTGCAATGGATGTGAGCCCATTTTTCCTCGCTCGACGTGTCTGTACGCCATTGTTCCGTTAGTTGAAAAGTCTGACAGCGCACACGTTTTGCAAACACTTGAAGATCTTAAGGAAATGGCGTCGAGGTATGAAGCACAACATGGCCAGTTCTCATGTGACTCTAATATGAGTATGACAGAGAGAGAGAAAGTCTTTGTGAGCGACAGATGTGTCTTCCACTCCGGTAAGAGATTCAATAAGCGTCAACGTTAAACAGGCATATGAGAAATAGCCATTTCAGACGAATTATTTTGGAGTGACTTCTTTCGTCATTGCCCGTTCTTCGGATGAGATATACATAGACGCTTCGGAAAGCTAGTCATCTCCGTCTTCAGGTAAAAGAAAGTATACTTACTCTGTGAAATGCAATGTATTGTCAGTACTTCAGACATAGCTTCCATTGTCTGTCTTTTTTCTGCAGACAGCGAACGGTGTTGAAAAGAGGACTGCAATGAGAGTACTAAACTACTGACATGAGCCTTGTACTGTTACTACCTCGTATCTTTAGCCGCGTTATAGGGGTCATACCATCTCTCGCGGAGCGGGGGGGGGGAGCAGTCTTTTCAGCCTACGTCAGCGTGGGTACTACCAGTTTGGAATGTAGCGTCTTGGAGTGTGGTCAGGTGTATAGTACGTTGTGTTGCTTGTTAGTTTGTATCAGTCATAGCGATTGTATTACGTGGTGTTCGTGTCACTGTCGTGGCACACCGACAATGGCACGCAACACTTCATAGTGAGGCCAGGGAGTAATAGCTAATAGTAATGTTTTCCGCTCGGGGAGTAGCTCTGAACGGCCCCACACCAAGGGTATAGCTTCCCGTGCCCCACAACAGCGTTTGCCTTTCCGCGCGGCTAAAGTTACCAGGCAGCAACAGTATTGTCAAGAGGGAACACATAGTATTGACGGCAGACATTACAGAAGTTTAGGGCTCGATATTTGAGTTTTATTAAAGGTGTAAAACAGTACAAGCATTTTCCGTGATCTCTGAATAATTGTTTTATTTCTTAGACTTTGCTTATTTTAATTACATTCAGGAAATGAATGTTCGATTAACAACAAACATATTTAAGTTAAACCCTGAAAGGAACTGATATTTTGTATTGAAATTATTTTAATGATGCTGGAACAGCCTTGAAATCCAAAGGTGATGCTCCACCTCACGGTGGAATATTCTGAAACAGTAGAATACAAAAGATTAACTTTGTTATGATAACAAAGAAATATAGTAATGAAATGCATCGCTTTATAGTCGAATTTCATTTAGATACTATTTTAGATATTTGTCAGTTGTAGGAATAATTCACTTTGCTGTTAGGCAAATGAATTCTGAAAGCTCAATTAGTGTTAGCTTTAAACTGCTTAGTGTTCGTCAGATGTGTATTGTGGAATCTCCTTTTAACTAATACCGATTTCCTTGGTGAAGGTCGACTAGCTATCAAGCCCACTCCATTTTGAAAGGGTTCCTTTTCTCAGTCACGGCCAGGATACTGCCTATCCTGACAGAACTTTCGTGGTTTTATCAAGCCTTTCAAGCTAATACTGAGATCTTATGTTGTTGCATCCTGTCGCCAATTTAGATTCGTGGAACACCTATGCAGTAAATATTATTTGTTAACAGTATTCCAGTCTTGGAATATATGTTTCGATGCCAAAACAACAATCCTCAGAACCAAATACTGACTACAAACGCTAAAAGTAAAATATATTTTCCAGTATAATAACTTTAATTGTACAATGCGAAATGCGAGAATTCTGTATGGACCCCTTTATATTCTGTCAGTGATGCTCGAAAAATACAAAAATAAAGCATATTTACATAACCCAAAATATAAGAGTCTTAAAAGCATAACATTATAAAATGTGCGATTATGCATGAATAATGTATAATATTACGCATGGAAACGTGTTTTATTGTTGTAGATTATTGCTAATGAAGAATGTTCGAAATGTTCCAAATAAGTCCATTCTGAAAATCTGCTTTTCATAGTTGATATTAAAATAATGTATTGGAAATTGCATTGTATTGTTGCCTTTGTTAATATTTTGGCCTGGAGGAGCAGTTTGGCACAAAGACTCATAGTCTAATGTTTCTATGAATATACATGTATGGTGTCCTAACTGCAGATTTCATCCATGATAAAACAATTTCTGGTGGACACTGGTCAATTTTTTCTTACATAAACACCTAGATCCAAGCTTCTTTACATCTACATCATGAATATTACATAACTATCCTCGTGTCAGATCCTTATTAGTTAATGTATTCTGGTTTACTTATCTTCTGAAATAGAACATTATTAAGACATGACGTTACAGCACCATACAAAGAGACTGTACACTTAAGCCTGTCATATCACATACAACACACAGACAGTATCGAGCTATGAAGGAACTCTGGCTGTCTTTGAAACGGAAGCTATAGAGGATGGACATATCCGTCACGAACAGAAGTTTCCAGCCATGTACACAGTGGTGCAATATTTACCCCACACGCTAGGTGTCAGTAGTGAGGTCAATTATTCTTCAACGTTCACAGGACGTGGATATCAGAAGAAATTCTTCTCGAAGCACATAGATTATAGATTACTCTTATGTCCTGCAAGACGAGAACAAGTGGTAAACTGTGTCTGAAGGGTGTATCATCATCGTCATCAGATAATGACGTGAATCATTATGACAGGCCTATCAGTAGAATGTCACTAGATTTTATTTTCAGTATAGGTTAGGAACCAAAGTCGCAACGCAAGAGGCCTTGTTAGACACAAGAGACATGTTTTTTTTTCTGTAAGGTTACCTACTCGAAGCACGACATACGCTCAGAGATGATTGAGAATGTTGTTCAGCACATAGAGAACATCACCTTTCCCTCTAGCCATACAAGAATTAGCTACGTGTTATCTATCACGTTGGGTCCGAAACTTTTCTTAATGTGAAAGTATTTGGCGCTGACTCAGCACGCATGACGTCAATTCGACGTGTCTACATTCTGACTGTTAACATGTCCCTTAACTTTCTATGTGTTCACAGCCAGAACAGCGTTTTGTTAGTGTGAAAATATTGGAAATAAATTTGAAATTATCTATTGTCTGATCAGGGGCGAAGCCTCAACTAAGGTCGGCGATTGAGATAGCATGCTTACTGCACGGATTTGAGGCGAAACACTTGGGTAGCAATAGGAAACTATGGGATATCACAAACATGACGACTGACGGCACAAACAGAAAATGCTCGGACAAAAATCCTGCCACAGAGATACCGCGAAACAAGCTCTAACTCGAGCCCTGACCGTGGAAACACTGTATCTAAACGGCTTATCCGTGGCTCGGTCTCTCCGGAAGAAAAATAATAGTTGTAACACGCTAAATATTTCAGACACACCCATGACACGTTACAGAACACTGCTTCGTCACACACAAAACACATACAGTAGGATGTGTTCTCCTTGATAACACAGAAGACGAGGACAACTCAGCCGATCACACACAGGTCACTGGAATAGGAGAATGAATTCATCTTACTGAGATAGGTGACGTCTTCCTGTTTCCCACTACAAGTTTCTGCAGGCGGGACTCATTGGAAACAGAACGCAGTGGCGCTTCAAGTTAAAGCTCGAGGCAGAACGCTTCCCTGGAGTGTTTCCACCGCTGAAATAATCGTCATCAGTTCCTGCTCCAGGAATGTAACCATTGGCACAGCTGTCATCTCCAGTGTTCAGACATCTCAGCCAGGCTGCACGGCGCTGTTGAAGGTTCAAGGTATCCAGTGACGCCCGTTTCCCTGGAGTGTTTCCACCGCTGAAATAATCATCATCAGTTCCTGCTCCAGGAATGTAACCATTGGCACAGCTGTCATCTCCAGTGTTCAGACATCTCAGCCAGGCTGCACGGCGCTGTTGAAGGTTCAAGGTATCCAGTGACGCCCGTTTCCCTGGAGTGTTTCCACCGCTGAAATAATCATCATCAGTTCCTGCTCCAGGAATGTAACCATTGGCACAGCTGTCATCTCCAGTGTTCAGACATCTCAGCCAGGCTGCACGGCGCTGTTGAAGGTTCAAGGTATCCAGTGACGCCCGTTTCCCTGGAGTGTTTCCACCGCTGAAATAATCATCATCAGTTCCTGCTCCAGGAATGTAACCATTGGCACAGCTGTCATCTCCAGTGTTCAGACATCTCAGCCAGGCTGCACGGCGCTGTTGAGGGCTCAAGGTATCCAGTGACGCCCGTTTCCCTGGAGTGTTTCCACCACTGAAATAATCATCAGTTCCTGCTCCAGGAATGTAACCATTGGCACAGCTGTCATCTCCAGTGTTGACGCATTTCTTGACCCTCTCAGCTGTTTTTTCGCTGTAAAACAAGATAAGATGCACAAATGCAGCAGTTAGTTATGCGTGTTGACGTACCACCGTCCCATGGCTCTTACTGAACCTTGTCGACTCCACGTCGGCGTCGTTTGCCCGGCGAATCCAGCGATCTCCAGTATTTGTTCTCTTCGACTGCGCCAATGAAGTCTCGATTGTCACAGCTGTGAGACAGCCCAGCATTTATGAGGCAAGAAGTCCGCTTCCTAAATGGGTTGAACGATTCATATAAGTGTTTATCCACAAGAGAGAAAGTGGGGGTATCTTCGATGAAGACAACAGATGTTGGTATATATCATCTGTTGTCTTCATTGGAGATACTCCCGCTTTATCTGTTGTGTTGATGGCTATACCTTTTTGCTTATTGTTAGTGGGGTGGGACTAAGTCCCTTGTACTGCGGCCACTTCTGGCCTAGTGTACCAGCCCCAGATGATAGGTGAGGGTGATTGTGGAGCAATTGGTGGAATGAAGATTGGCAAGGAAAACTGAAGTACTCAGAGAAACCTGCCCCAGCGCCACTTTGTCCACCACAAATCCCACTTGACCAGACTCGGGATCGAACCCGGCCCGCCGCGGTGGGAAGCCAGCAACTAACCGCTTGAGCTATGGCGCGGCCTACGGCTATAACTTAGGATAAATATTGTATACAGAACATGATGCCATCTATAAAGTTCATATAAGTTATGTTAAAGTTAACAACGAAATTACATTTGATAAGTAAATGGGACATTATTGAAAACTGGTAGTTTCCCGCTGAGAGAAATTCACATTTCAGTATATGCACAGTCTGGAAGCCCAAAAATTGGTTTCTGTGGTTATTTTGGATACGATTGCTTACTAGTGGATACTATGGTTTACTGTATGTTGTAGTTAGTTAATGAACTTTTGAAGCATTATCATCATTCTAGCGTATGACCTATCAGAGATGACGAAGAAATCGCTCTTATGCCTTAGATATCATTATCTCCTTCCCTCCTTTCTCCCGTGTCTCATTCCCATGCGTATTATTTCTCCGCTGTGCCCCTATTCCTCCCTCAATTTCCACGCCAAAACAGTCCCTCACCCCCTTCTTACGTTTCCTTAAACATTTATATTTTAATCTCCGTGACTCAGTTCTCTCGTATCCTTTCCCCAGTCATCTTTATAGATCCGTCCTTTTGTCATTTCTCTCCCTTAACAACGACAGACAATACTGTGTGTTGTCCTTGTGTCCTAGCAAGCACGCGTTGTGGTTTTCCTGAGCGTGAAATGACTATTGCTTATGTGTAGATATAGGCTGCAAATTACTTGCTCTGATTAAGGCTGGGGCCACACGAGCGCACAAAGTACGTCCGTTGCAACGAACGTACTTCATGACGGACGTTGCTGAGGACACCACACAGTTGCAGAATGCGGTGCGTAGTTTTTTGTCTGCAATGGAGCCAGAAGAAAGCGTAGCATTCGCCTCTCTTTTTTATTTCTACAACGGACGCATTTTGTGCGCTCGTGTGGCCTCATCCTAAGTCTATTATGACTGGGAAAAAGAACACGAAAGATAAACATTTAGAAAGGAATAGTTACGAAATGAAAACACAGAGCACTGGATACTTACTGCACTGTCTCCATACTCGCGTCCAAGTCCTCCAGCAGGTTCCTGAGCAGGCGCACTGTCCGTCTGTTCTCCTGTAAGCTTTTCACATGGCTGCATGCACAGTGCGAGAAACGACAAGCGGCATTAGTACGTGGGTGCCGTCAGCAATTTTCCCCAGAAGGAGGGGGGAAGAAAATTTGGATCCGAGATAGCTCAGTCGGTTTAGTGACGGGCTACGGGCTGGATGGCCGGGGTTTGAATTCTGGCAAGGGCAAGAGAATTGTCTCTACTCTATAGCATCCAGACCGGCTCTGGGGCCCACCTAGCCCCCTATTCAGTGGGTATTGGGGACTCCTTCCCCCGGGGGTAAAGCGACAAGAGCTTGAATCAGACCTCTCACCTCCGTCTAGTGCCGAGGTACACTCTACTCCCCCAGATGTCTTTATGGCCTCGTGTTTAATTAATTAAGCACAGGAACAACTTTACCATTTACAGTTATGCAAAGTTAACAAATACGACTAGGCAATACTGTCTTCAGGTACGCTACGGTTTTTCTTTCAACGAAGTTAGACGCTGCAAAAGCAACTCAAGCATTTCGTTTCTTGCTGCTAATTTCTGTTGCCTTTCGCAACTGCTGCTGTTGGCAGTACTCTGACTTCTACTAACAGACCTATGGAACACGCATTTACATAACGACAGAATAACAAGCGCTCTTCTTTTGTATAATCAATTATATGTTGGTGTCCCATATTTTTATTTTGAGTCATTTTGAAAATGGGGACAAAAATGAACATATTTATGGTTATTTTAATCGGAAGAAATTTTGAACAAAGTCAGGCTTCTGTGTAGAACTTGAGGTTCTCACAGCAATGGTTTTGAAGAGTTCTGTCTTCTAGGACATAACGCCGTGTAGTCCTTTGAAATTCGGTCGACATTTTGGAGTGACTATTCTTTCCACTTGCTTCACACTGATTTCTTACTTGGCTTCTTATTCTTAAATCCTGAAAATGTAGGTGACATATTTCTCCGAAACGTCGATCGACTTTCAACGGACTACACGGCGTTATATCTTAGAATAAAAAACTGACTGACTGCTAAAGTGCTGCTGGCTGTCGTCAGCACAGATTCTTGATTTCGAGCCTCACGGGACTCACGACCATATTTTATTTTCTGACGGCTCTGGGAGCGATAGAACTCTTTTGAAGCTTCTATATTTATACCGTATCGACGAGGGAATATGCTTGGAATGTCCTTCAAAGTGTGATAGAACGTGAAACAAAGTTACAGATATTTCATAACAGACAACTATAGAAGACCTGAGAGCTTCATATTAGCAGACAGTGTTAGTGTTACACGCAACCAGCCACTGGAGCGAAAATGCATTTCTCTAATCTGTAAATAAACTTATCAGTGGACGGACTGGCAGCTTGAGGTAACTGCAGTGTTGAAGAGCTGGATAGTGATATCGGCCTTAATAATGAAAAAAACTCGATATCACATTATCTTCTTGACGTTTTGAGTGTGCTGGGGTTCCCGTAACGAGCAGTGAGTGGGTCTGGATCTGCCCCAGTCAGATCCGATGGATCTGCAAGACGAACAGTTCTTGTCACGATTTTAAATTTTAGTTTCTTAAAGCTGTGTACAAGATTACGATCTTCTGCGGTGTGATGCCGTGTAGTCTGGGTATTAAGTACCAAAGTTTCATAGGAAACTCATGCCTACTCTAGGGGTGTTACTCCGAAACATCGGTGCCTCTATACCAATTATATGGAGCCACGCCCCAAAAGATCGAAATATTAATTATTTTCGCTTTCATATATATATATATATATATAATGAAATTTGTGTTATTCTTAATATGGTCTTTTAGCTTCAGAGGGATTGCTGTCGGGCATGGGGGGCATTTAATATTGTATTTTGAGTTATGCCACCGTGAAATCTGGTAAGTGGTTATGAAAGTTCGGAAGGAACAAAGGCATCAATCGTCAGAGTAGTGAAGGATGGACTCAGTGTGTTCGTAAGAAACGTTGATAATGACGAGTGTCAGAAACCAGGAGACCACAAGCTTAAGGACTGAGACTGTGACATTTTGACTGGTCGGGTCTGTCTCACACGCGTCAGGTGTCAGTAATAGGTGATCATGGGACTTTGCCGGATTGTGACTAGCAACAGAAACCAGAGTACTCTAATCGAATCCCCACTGCTATATTGGCTGTCACAAATCCCGCATCGATTCCCACGCGATCGAATCCTTGGCCGTGAGGAAACATCCCGACTTATTTTGACGAAGGACCGCGCCATAAATCAAGCGGCTAGTCGCTGGTTTCCCACCGCGGCGTCCCAGGTTCGAACCCAGGTCTGGTCAAGTGGGATTTGTTATGGACAAAGTGGCGCTGGAGCACGTTTTCTCCGAGTACTTCGGCTTCCCCTGCCAATCACCCTCACGTATCATCTGAGACTGGTACAATAGGAGAGAAGTGGCTGCAGTACAAGGGACTTAGTCCCACCTCACTAGCAATAAAAAAATAACATTTTGACGAATTTCCACATGAATGGAAGAGTCAGGAATGGTCATCTGGATTCAGATATGGCGTGTCTGAGGCAAAGCTGGCAATCTTATTGTGACGTAAAGGTAACGTTGGGGTAACAATGCGAACCAGAACCGTGGACGGTGATAGAAGACAGTATAGGAAGAAGTGAAACTGCCCCAGTGGGTTCCATGAGACTAGAGGCAGAGGTGCAGTGTGAATTCAAAACAGGATGGAAGATATTTGAAGGGAATTACAGATAATTATTAGTAAATACTACTAATTATATCGTGACAAGATTAAATTGCCCGTTATACGGTAACGGCTAAATAAACAATTATCGCGGCAGCGGATACGCGTGGAACAATAGAAGTACTGCTTCAAACGGTGTTCTCTGAGTGGTCCATGCCGAGGCTATATAGGAAGCACGAACAGGAGAAGGAGAGTAGACAGTTGAGCGATGAGTTACTTGAGAGGTGAGAGCCAGCCAGCGACGACTTAAGCACGAGAACAGAAGAATTTATGTTGTTGGGAACCGTAACAGAGCAACGACTAGTGAATGCTATAACATACTGAGACTTAGCGTGTGCTGTAGTGATTTGATAAATGTGCAAATTAGCGACAGTGTTACAGTAAAAGCTTTCGAAAACGTAAACTATTAACTGAAGTAAGGAACTGTTTATTTAGACGGAAGAGGTCATCTGTTTTAATCCTCCAGACTCATGGTGATGGTAGTTTATTAACTCGTTTATTATTTATTTAACGAAGCCATGAGTAGCTCAGACTAGAAGGCGTCAAGTGATACGATATCGGTAAATAAATTAGGAATTATTTTGAATGAGGCGGCTAAGCCCTACTTTTCCGGAATTTTCCTGGAGGGACGGAGAAGAACAGCGAATCTCCTCACTTAACATAGCCCGTGCGGTATGACGCAAGAACGCTCGGGTTTATTAGTTACAGATTCCTAATTTAATGAGCGATAATTTGATCTGACCAATAGTGATCAGTAAGGTATTCAGCGCGTCAGGTGAACTCAATTTAGGATTTGTGTCCGTATTGTCCTCTGCATGAGCCCCCAGATCCTAGCTCTGCCATTGCACAATAATCCGATTTCAACTGCGGGGCGGCGGGACATCTCGTTCGCTCGTTGCAAAGCCCGTCTTATGCATGCCATTTAGCTGTTCCGATATTCAGCCGGAATTCGACGCACGTGTAATAATGCAGAGGCAGGGGTCGACTGAGAGTACGCCTGCTTCGTTGACAGTTCCGGGACAGACCTCGCCCTGGAGTCCGGCTGTGCTGAGCCCCCCGTGTAATCACCGGTACAGTGCCTCAGATTGTATCACGACTTTCCCTACTCTGTCCAGTGTATCGTCCTCTAATCATCCTTCCTTTGACGCTACTGACAGCGTCTTAAGTGAACAATACTTACTTACTTATGGAGCTGAGCCCTTCTTGAGGTGAAGCCAAATCTGCAGCTACTCAAGAATTTCTCAGCATTTTATAGATTCAATACCCTGTTCAGAAGAGCCCTCCACTGGTCCCTATCCTGAGCCAGATCAATCCAATCCATCCCATCCTATCTCTCTAAGATCCATTTTAATATATATGCATTCATCTTCGCCCCATTCGTGCTACATGCCCTGCCCATCTCAACCTCATTGACTTGATCATTCTAATAATACTTGGAGAAGAGTACAAGTTATGAAGCTCCTCATTATGAAGTTTTCTCCAACCTCCTGTCACTTCATCCCTCTTCGGTCCAAATATTCTCCTCAACACAAATAAGTGAATACATTTAAGGGCGCAGTGTTTTATGTGTTTGTGTACATACGAGTATATCAAGTGATAGAATCGTGTAGCAGGATGCTGAAATACAACATCCCGGAATGCAACACCATGTAATTCGGCTCCACCTTCAGGACTGCTGCCGTCCTATTGGCTAACCCACAATTGCAGTCCTCCCTTCCCTATATCAGAACCTCCCGTTTGCACGTCCGGCTTACTGACTACTCCCATGGACGTGAGACAGAAAAGAACTCGGTCACGAGTTTCGCGGGACCCGGAATAAAGAATGACTCTGCTGGCGAGGACCAGCAGCAATTTACGAAGACTGAGGCAATACTTTCTTCCAAAATGCAGGAAACGATTTACCAGACGACACGGCGTCACATATCTGCATACTCTGGTAGTGATGTCGATGAGTGTCCCTCTCTTGTTCAGTTAGTCCATTAAGAAAAGTCCTACCTGTCCATCAGTTCCTGAGCTATCTCTCTCGATGATGCCCAGGCCGCTGTTGCCATGACGACCAGTAAGTAGAGAACTAGTGTCATCTCTCTCTTCCACTCCATTTGCACTACAAACAACAGAACAGAGTCACGCGTTAGGCTGATGGTGTGATGCGTGTTGCATCCCCAGGCGTCAACAGAATCACTGAAAGCACAGTCACTGCTACCACCTACTTTAACGTTAAAATATGTTCTTGTTTCGTACAACTCTCACAATATACAGCGGCTGTTTCCCAAAACATTATTACCTGTAATGGAGACGCATTATTTTCTGTGCGGTACGAACTACATTCATAAGTATCACATAGCAGAACTTCGGGCTCCAAAGGATACAACGTCAGCCCGGTTCAATGAATTAATTCTTGGATTGTTTGTTAACGCTACTTCATTTCCAGAGCTGAATTGCATGGCGTCGAATTGGATGGGAAGATACCCATGAAAGTACTTCGAAGGTTACCGTCGTGGCTTATTTTAAGGTATTGTTGCAAAATTCGCTTGGAGAGACAGAGATTCTGCAATTGACCTCAAGCTATGACCGCTTCCATCTACATTTTCATCTACTCACCATTCACGATCGCTGTGCAAGCTTAGGTTAGGTTAAATAAGGTGAGGTCCATATTAATTATGTCAATATACTCGTAGTTACGTGTATAAAGGAATATATTCTGGGAAGAAATTGGAACATATATTTTTTGGAACGTCTTAATAATAAACATATGGCGTTGCTAGTAAGAATTATAAAGCAATATTTACATTGTTTTTTTTTCATGTTTGCTCAACGAAACCTAGTGTTTCGTATGTCATCATGTTTTTAATTGGCAACATTTATAGAAATTTGTGGATACGTAATTCTTGAGTGTGTCTATGATCAATCTTCGTAAGAAGATTCTCATGTCTAACAATTAAGACCAAAGCTACATATAGGCATCACGTGGCCCAAATCTTGATGTTTCGTACTTTACACGAGAATGCACGAAACAGAATTAGAGTGTTTTCGAGACCTATTCAAGGTAATGAAGCAAAATTGTCCCTGTGATTAATTAATTGAACACCACACAATGAAGGCGTATGGGGGAGTGGATGTATAGCTTCACCATTCTCGACCTCGGCGGTAAATTGAGGAAGGTAGTCAATTTCAGCCCCCAGCTGCTTTTCCCGCGGGGGAAGGGGCCCTGGTACCCATTTTATAGAAGACTTGGTGGGCCCCAGAGCCGGCCTCGAAGCAGCGCAGTAGAAAAAAAACTTTCCCCTGTCGGGAATCGAACCCCGGCGGTTCAGCCCGTAGCTATCCGGCTCCTTCGGAGATACGTATTGATGAAGTAGAATTCTGAGTACCTGAGGCGACTGCAGTATTCAGTACTCAGAGATCCAGAAACTCAGACGTTCTCCTTTTGACATGCCCTACCACTTGCTACGATTACACCAAACGGAGAATGATCTCGTAACCCGCCAGTTATATGCCCACAAATCCCCGATATATTCCACTTTTATGATGTTTATGCTTGCAGACTTTATTCTCCTTTTGGTGTGGGGTTCTGTTGGCATTAGCCTGTATCAGAGCGAGTCAGGTGTGGCTGCGTTGGTGTAATACTTAACCAGTACACGGAGTGGACATGAAGTTTATACTGGAAAACAGTGAAAGGGTTAATGTGTGGCTAAGCGAAGGTTTCGCGTGGTTTGCGAGGTTCACAGTTTTAATATATATGATCCTCTAATGGTTTCGTGACTGACTTTCTTCAGATATGCTCCTAAGCCTCGAATGAGGGTGAAAACGAATGTTTATAGCGGACGTAACGAAAATAGTTTCATAAAACCGCAATTCTATATGTGGTGTTGCATGAACGTGAAACTTGCTCTGGCTCTAGACTTGCATTCGGGACATGATCGGTTCGAATCTTGGGCTCGATACCGGCTGTTCTGATTATTCTTTTGGTTTTATTCAGTTCTTCCATAAAGGTGCTGACATGAACTTAATTATATCCCCAAAACTAATCGCTTTTCTCGTTGGTAGATGTGAGGTTTCCCAGATGGTGACTCTGGTGTGACGTCATGTAGTCTGTTATATCGTAACTAACATTTCGGAGAAATGTGCTGCTTCCATCCTTAGGTCTTCTACGAGATTACATGGCGTCAAATACAATAAGACAGTTATTTTCGTGGTCAACCCCGTTTGAATCTCAAATTTAACACTCTCACTGAACTCCTATGGGCGGATGGGTGACTTTCTTGGAGCAGAAGCTACCAGACACGTTCAGCTGTTCATTTTACAGCATTCATTGTAAAGCGGAGTTGAAAGGTCAAGGCATTATTTGCCGATGGCTTTCTGAAGTAGCTTTGAACTGCTGAAGAACTTGGCATAAGAAGAGGCAGAGGATCATCAGTTTAACGCCGGGTATTACAGAGAAAGTCAACGCCGATTTCTTATCGGGTTTTAGCGTGAAGTAGAGTTTGATTTCAGATTCCTTGGAGACAGCCGATATGGTACTGTAAGTGGACATTCGGACGTGTCACCGTGTCAAGGTAACCTAGATCCAAGTTGCAGTATCCTAGGAATTTCAAATAAGACAGCCTTTGCTGTAGTTTCCTTTACGTCCATGTTTTACGTAACAAGATATCTTGGCTTAAGGCGAAATATTCGCTACCCTTATACGCTTTGTGAGCGTGGATTTGATGCACCTCTGTTTCCCTAACGTGACGCTAGTTTTGGCACATTGTGCGCAGCACCTCGTACCTATATTTATTAAGTAGAAAGTAAAGGTATCTCTGCAACAGGCCGTGGAGGCCCATAGGGTTGTCAGATGTTGAGATTCCCACATTTTCTAGACAGTCGGCTCATAGATGGCGGTAAGGTCAGCCTTACGCGCCGGCCGCCCTTTACTCCCAAGAATATTCCTGGTACTCATTTCTGTTAGAGGCTAAGTCGACCCCAGGGCCATATTGCGGTTTGAAGGATTAGGTAAATTGAAAAAAAAATCCACCTCATCGGGATTCGATCCCGCGACCTTCCGGCTTGTAGCATAGTGCGTCAACCAACTACGCTACCTCGTGCGCCTTATCTGTATTTATTATCATTTATCATTTATTTAATGATGCTTGCAGGAGACATGCTTACTGCTTGGTTCTACAGTTTTCTAAGAACCTTGACCTCCTTTATGACAGCTGTCAATTCTCTCATTTCGCACCCATCTTTAATTTTCTCACCGCGTGTTTTCTGATCGTGGAAGAGGAGGCGCTACCTTCTATGTATGTATCCTCTACCCTTCGACTTATGCAGCACTAGTGATCCTAGTAGGAGCTTACGCCTCCCGCTAGCATAGCTCCCCAGGTGATCAGGGCGCGTTTTCAGTAAATCGCATTATGTAGAGTGACACAGACGGAATATACGGACTTGAATGAAACTCATGAAAGTTGTGTGTTAAAAAATTTGAGTGATTGGTCGCACAATTTTTAATGTTAACAGGAAATTATGGTAAGATCTGATCACCTATTTTCATTTGATACGACACGGACAGCATAGGAAACGACGCCGCAAACAATTCTTCGTTGCCATGGGAACGTGTTTACCGAGCCGTTGCCTAGCAACGATAGGATATACATAGAGATATAAAGACTGGACAAACTTACGAAGTACGTCGTTGAGATGGGCTCAGGTACCATAAAATGCATACAAAGTTTTAGGAAAATTGGTTTAGGCATTCAAAAGTTGATTGTTTGGGGGGGTACAGAAATACCCGTACACAGACACACAAACAGAGAGCAAGGTGAGCTCATAAGCCTACTTTTATTTATTTCAAAATAAGGGAAGTGTGCTAAAAGCAGCCACTCTCTCATACAAATCACCCGGTCTGTGAAACTGTCGGATGACTCATTCTACAGAACTGTCACCGTCATCTTCAGATTTACATAAGTTACAATTCCGTGTACAAAGGCAGCTAACAGATCGTGTGAAAATGTGTTAAGATATTTGGGAACGACAGTAAGAAATCAAAATTTGATTCAGGAGGAAAATAGAGGAGATTGAATTCGGGTAATGCTTGCTACCGTTTAGTCCATAACCTTTTGTCTCCTCGTCTGCTGTCCAAAAACATAGAAATCAGAATATACAAAACTTGGTCTATGTCAATAAGGCTGAAGCACAGACCGAGGGTGTTTGAGAACGGTGCTGAGGAGAACATTTGGGCCGAAGAGAGATGAGGTGACAGGAGGCTGGAGAAAACTGCATAATGAGGTGCTCTGCCTAATATAATTAGAATTCTCGTGTGAAGGTGGATGGGATGGACAGGGCATATAGCGCTAACGGGGATATTAATGGGAAAGCCAGAAGAAAAGATACCACTAGTAAGACCAAGACGTAGGTGTGTGGATAATATTAAAATGTAGCCGATTGTCTACATAGCATGGGATATTCAACGTCTCACAACCATATCTGCCTTCACGGCGTGGTACAGGAATAGCTGTACTTTTTTTTTACTTAGAGAGATAGGATCTGGTGGTATGGGTTGGATTTATCTGGCTCAGAATAGGGACGAGCAGAGGTCTGTTTTGAACACGGTAATGAACTTTCGGGTTGTCAATCTAGGTACTATTCTGGCATTCACTTGAAGGGACCGAGGAGAGCCACAGGAAATCTGTCAGAGTAGCCGGTGGCCCAAACACGAGTCTAGAGGGTTGGTACTACGCCAACCCGGTCGATTGTAATTTTAATTTCGTAAAGGGCGCCTAGCCGGTCACGGTAGCCTAGCGGTCTAAGGCATGTACTTTCTTCGCTCGCTCGGAAGCCGGGATCGTGGGTTCGAATCCCACTCAGAGCATGGATGTTTAGTTTGTGTGTGTGCGTTTTTCTGTGTTTGTGTACAGGTAGAGGCCTTGCGACTAGCTGATCACCCGCCCAAGGAGTCCTACCGAATGTGTAAGATCTAGAAAAACCGAAGTGAACGGAGTTCATGGAGGCAGGCCTAGGCCCACTGGGGCTGTAGTGCCAAGGCGGAAAAAAAAACGGACGCCTAACGGGACGTGCCTGCCATTAAAGGCAACGGAGAAGACCTGAAGCTCGCTGATTGGGACAATT